GTCTCGCACCGATGACCTATCCACATCATCATTTACCCAGAATGCTTTGCATGTAAATAAAATGGCTGTCCATCCAATATATTTTTAAACTTTTAGTTTAAAAATTATAAAAACTTAACAGCCTACAGTATTTTTTTCATTCTTTATTTTACAGTTAAAATATATGTTTATCAAATAAAGTCTAATGTTACAACTAATCATGGCTCCCTTTAAGGCATTTTTACTTTTACTTCGTTATTTTTTTCAAATACTTTATAGACCTCTGCTGCTTAGTAATCCAAGACAGTGGCAGCTTTGAACGTGTGATTCATTTACAATGTGGGTCTCCTCTCTGTTCTGACTGCAGAAGGGGTTTAATGGTGCTGTGAGTGCTTGGGATGTGGGAGGGGCCAATATTAAGGACAGTAACTGTAGAACGACTAGTGCTTTCACATGTAGTCGACTAAAGCTGGAAACATACTCGCTCCGACGCCGATGGGTCGATGCGCGGTCACATGGTTGTTCGGCAGTCGCTTTTGCACACACCTTTCATAGTTCCTGAGACACCCCCCGYGCAGAGCTCGGGAAACCCCCCTCCTGCTGAAACATACGTAACTGCTTGGAGTTCTCCCCGCAACCGCCGACAATGCAGWAAAAGTCAGACTTGTCACTCACCCAACGTATTTATCCGCAACTGTCCTGGTTAAAGCTCCACAGTTTTTTTCAGTCAGATTCCTCCGTGCACAATGTCTGTTTAATCTCCATTCATGAGTTTTACACGGTTTCAATATCTTTATAAAACTCTGCTTCCTTTCCTTTTGTATGGTGTAAGAACAATAACTTGGAACTRAACACAAGTAAAACCAAGGAGATGGTCATGGATTTTAGAAGATCCACCCGTACCGAGACCACGGCCCTCCTCATCAATGGAGTGGAGGTTGAGAGAGTGGACCACCTTAAAATTCTTGGAGTTCACATATCTGTCGACCTCACATGGGCCTTTAACACCCATTACCTAGTGCAGAAGGCACAATGAAGACTTTACTTCCTCAGGAGGCTGAAGCTCTTCCACCTCGCTCAACACCTGCTGGTGAACTTTTACAGAGCCACCATCGAGAGCATCTTGACTTACTGTTGCACAGTCTGGTTCATTAGTTGCACAGTACAGGACAGGAGAGACCTGCAGTGAGTGGTGAGAGGGGCGGAAAAAAATCATAGGGACTTCGCTTCCCTCCCTCAGKGACATCTACAACTGCCGGCTCCAGAAAAAGGCTACCAGCCTTCCAATGGACATCACACGCACTCTGTTTCCCCCTACCCTCTAACAAGAGATTCAGACAACTGAAAGCAAAGACTAACAGGTTGAATCACAGCTTCTTTCCCCAAGCTGTGAAAGCCATCAGCCATTATGCATAGATTCTATTGCACATGTACAGATTTTTTTATTTGTTTATTGTTTGTTATATTTTAAAAATTGCTGCCTGTGAGAGGATGCTAAACTGCATTTCACTGTTTTAACACTGT